TGGGTATCAAGGTGACAGCACAAGCCATTTGAGGGTAACACGGCATGCTGAGGAAGAGGTCTCATTCAACGTCATACCTGTACGAGATCCCTCCGTCCCACAGCCAAGGCTGAGGCAGCATTCTTCTGGCAAGTCTCCTGGATATTATTCACATTCAGTCTAAAAAGAAAAGAGATAGTTCAGCTCTGGTTGGCACATTACCTACAAAGGTAAGGATGGATGTGGGAAAGTGGTACTGGCAGCAGTGAGTAGCCCAGAACTTCCTGATCAATACGAGCCTGCTAGGATGGCCAGGATCCCATCCCTTCCTTCTCTGTTATTCAGGGGTCACTGCCATCCTTCACCCGTTATTCATCTTCACGTCAAATCCAGCTCCAAACTAGCTGGGATTGATCCTAAGAAGCACCATTTCCAAGAAGATATCGGATCAAACTTGTGCCAGGATATCACCCAAGCCAAGATTCCTTCTTGTCCCTAGAAGCTGGTGCCATCAGTTACACAGTCCTGTTCCCATTCAGCCTGTTGGTCTGCTCTGACTGACCTGGAGGGAGATGGCAGTACGCTGCGCAGGAGCAGGCTGGTCTTCAGCCTGTTCCCCAGTAGGATAACGCATTCACCGGGGACTCTCCGAGAGGCTGGCAAGGTGGGCTGGCAAGGTGGGCACATGGGCTTTCCTGCTTATCGTCAGAAATCTTCCCGAGACACTTGACACTTTTACTGCTTAAGATCTTACAGCAAATGGAAAAGGGTCAGGCTGTTTACACATGAGATCTCCAGGGAAAAAAGTTCCAACAGGTCTTTTAAAGAACATTCTTTTTAATAATAGAGAAAAGAGAGAAGATTTTTTTTCTCTCTCTCCCCTGCCCTTTTAAAAAGGGAAGCCTGCTTCTTCTCTGAATGTTCATAGACTGGAAATTCTGTGAAGGGCCAGACAGTATTACCAAAGCTAAGGAAGAAAAAAATTCAGGAACAGAGATTTTGTAACTATCTGAATTAGATGGTTTGGAAAAAGCAGCCCCTTGTTTTAGAAAAAAAAAAAAAAACAACCCCACACAACACACAAAACAAAACCAACAACAAAAAACCAACAAAACCCCCACAGAACTTCTCCATCCTCCACATCAAAGCAGAAGAAATTGTTGTGCAGACATTGACATGTAGAACTAAGTCCACAAGCGAACAAGGCATTCCCAATATTCCTGAAATTTAAAAGCCTTATGAGTTAGTAATAATTTTATAGTATGAAAATGTGCATGTATTGGGATTTTTAAGCCTGTACATTTAAGTGTGGAGTTTAACATCAAATTTGAAAATTGGTAATTTCTCTCTTTAGCTGACAAAAACCTGAACCTGTAAGATTTGCAGTGATGATGCTGGAGTATCGGTTCAAACTCTGCGTAGAATACCATCACAAATTTCTCCCATCACACTTTTCAGATTTATAGGAGGCAAGACCCCTCTCACAGGCAGAGAGGGATACCGTAAAAAAGCAGCAAGGCAAGAACAGAGGAAGAAGGTACAGAAACATTCAAAGATCAGTGCAGACTGATTTCAGGATTAAAGCACAGCAATGTGAAAATCAGCTGCTTTCATTTGGGAAAGGATGCCAGCCTGTACTCACATGTAGAGCTCTCCCAGCAGCTTGTGGACAGGCAGCAAGCAGGAAATATCTTGGATAATAACTTTCCCAGCAGCTTTGATGGGCCGGTTGTTGGCCTCTGTCCCTTCTCGTTTGCTTTTCCACCTCCTCGATTTCTGCAGAACAAACGGCAAAGTGTTACTGGGGAGGAGGACAGCAGGCTGCTTGGGCCAGGAAACAAAGCACTAGGGCCAGGAATTATGCAAGCAGCACCCAAACCTGCCTTTCAGAAGGCTCTGTGTTACCCTGGAAAACATCCATGACATGCTCAGGAGAACAAGCATCTCCATCTGTAGGAAGTGAAAAGCAGGTCAAGGCAGCGAGCTCAAGGTCAAACTCACTCAAAAAGTATTTTGTGAGTTCCCCTGTGAAAGCCAATAAGAGAACAAATCAGCATCTGGATGCCAATCAAACCTGGGCAGGTTTGGCAGGAGGACAGTTCAATTATCATTCTCATTAGAGGTCTGGGAACCCTCTGCACACAGACCACCGCTGACTTCAGCCAACGCTCAGCACAGAGGCACGTGGGAGGCAGCTTCTGCTTGTCCTTCACTTCAGGGCAAGCTGACAGCTCCAGACTGTCTCTTTTGATCTCCTCTTTCAGTGTTTGAGTACGTCCCTGTTTAGCATCAGGACAGGGTTCCCACCTCCTGCTTTATCAACAGCTTCAAAGAACGAACTGGCAGATGATAAAGCAGGGCCGAAGTTCTCCTAGCCAGGATCCTCAGCTACCATGCTCACAGCTACTTACGGCTGGCTCAGGACATAAGGGAGGTGTGGGCGGAGAAAGAAGAGGAATCGACACAAGGGAACGAAACCAAGAAGCCAAGATTCCCAAATACTCCCCGTAACAGACACAGAGGCCACCTTAATGCCAAGCTGCATACAGCTACCTTGGCCATGTGAAACACCGTAGAATATTTGGCTGGTATCTTGGCTCCTCACTCCAGGAGGGCGAGGAGGAGGGATGAGAGGATGTGCAGCAGCACAAGAGGCAGAAGGCACTGGAGCTCTACCAAGGGAAGCACTGTCTGCTAGGCAAGGCTCCTACGTGCAGCGAAGAATGCTTTGCAATGCTGCTCCCCTGTGGTGTGTTCCCTCACTGACACATGGAGTCGAGGCTCCTACACAGAAGTGTCTCCTGGTCATACTGAGTATGGAGGGTCCCCTGAGACACTTGTGGTGGGGCTTCCTACACCCCTATCTGAAGCAGAACAGTACCTTTGGAGGGGCCAGCAAAGTAGCCCTGTGCCAATGGCTCTGCACGGCTGGCAGAGCTTGCACAGGCAGCACATTGGTGCTCCTGAAGAGCAGGCTGGGCTACGGGAAGGGCAAATCTTTGGCCTGCAAACAGGGTCACCTCTACTGTGGATGTCAGGCCAGCTCTATGATGGCTGGGTGCCAAACTGCCTTTGACCATGATCATACAGTCCTGTGAGAACCTGGGCAGGCTTATCACAGCCACAATATGACCTTAAAAAACACCCTAAGAACCTTAAGAATCAATCCTTTCTTCACTGCCTGCCTGGCCCAAGCTTAGGCCAACATGCTGATGGGACCTTGCCATGCTGAGCACACCGCTAACACATGCCACAAGAGGAAAAAAGGATGTACTCCTGAAGTCGCTCTGGACACTGGGTGACCTAGGCTCAGAGGCTCAAGCACAGGCTTGACAGTAAGTGAAGAAGGAGTTTCAGACTTGAAGGAGGTGAAGGTGGATTCTTCCAGGGAAGCTCAAATGACAAAGCATCACCAGTTCCCCTGATCTTCCACCATTCCCCAGAGTAAAGAGGAGCAGAGCCTGCATGGTGCCCAATATTCAAAGGTACCAAACGCTGGTGGAAACAGTGCTGTCAGCATTCAGTGCTATGGAAAAGCTGGCTGACTGGGGCCTAATTTGGTTCTCTGCCACATCCCTCAAGTCTTAATTCATCCAAGCAGAATTTGCCTGCAGTATTTATCTGCTACATCATTCTGAAGCTGAGAAGTATTATGCAGTGGAAGGTGGCTAGAATGCGTTCAGGTGGGAGACCAAACTCCCTTCAGTCCATCAGTTCCTAATCAAGGCACTGTTTGGATCCGCTCTGGCTCTCTTACCATTGGGCAGACTACATCTCTTTGGATAACACCTAAAAACATAGCTACCCTTCCTGTGTTGAAGGATGTGGGCTGTATTACAACAAGGTTCCCAAACAACAGTGGCACTTGTGCCTCATTCCTTGTCAGGGCAGCCAAACACTGTCTCCTAGGTGCAGCGAGGAGCAGCTGATGCTGCCAAAACCAATACCTGAGCAAAGCTTCAGAGCCCCAGCACAATGACATGCCATCAGGACAAGAGCTCAGGCACTGTCCCGGAAGGGTTACCAGGCTCCTCACAACCAAAGCCATTATGTGTGCTGTGTCTGAGCAGGTATTTGAACCGAGGCTTGTGGATGCAGAACGACATTCTGCAGGGCTATCACCAAGGGCTTCTAGGGCTTGGCAGGTAATTTGGAGAGCAACTTGCCACCTCCTGACCATCTGTAAGTCTGCTGCCCCCACAACTCGCAGCCGATGGAGAGTTCCCTCTGACCACGGCAGGTTCACTGCCTCGTCATCAGGAACAGATTCAACCTGCTCCTGCCCTCTGCAAGAGCGGACTGAAGAAGCCTCCCAACAGGCGTTTCAAAGACTAGAAACATGGACAACACATACCACTTTCCACAGGTAATTCAGTCACGTCTTTTTGGGAGGAGAATGACAACAAATGAGGATGAGGATGAGAATGGAAAAGAGATCCCATGAATGGTTTCCACTGCTTGCTGTTAGCATATCACCAGACAAATGAAGACACTAGATGCATCAGAATCCCCTGAAAACTTGGACTCACAACAAAACCGACCCGTTTTCTTCCTCTTAGCACTGCCTATTTACTGGTAAAAAGGGAACCCCTAATTCTTTACTGGTGCAGCTCCTGGAGTAGAGTCAGTCGATGGCCATATGCCTTGCCAATACTACACCTCCACAACCACTACTTCTGCCCCTTGAGCTGTGACAGAAGAAAATCCACACGTTTAAAATGTCTGTTTTTTTGCAATTCAGGTTTGCCTCAGCTACAGCCAACAAAGGGTTAGAAAAAAAAATACAATTAGAAGTATGGGAATCATCATGGATGAGGTAAAGCTCATCGCCATTGACAGCAGAAGCTCTACTTTGAACCAAATAATTGCTGGTGTTAATTTAAAGGAGTAGCTCTCCACCAGGCAATATTTGAGCACTTTTAAGAGGGATTACCAGAGGCAAGGAAAGCACTCTAGCTTGGGTCTCTCTGGCAGTGCTAAGAAGCTCCCACTATGGTGTTATCAAAAGGTGTCACCAAGACACATGGACATCAGGGTAGAACAGAAAACACATCTGTTCCTAGGGGCTGCAGCACAGATCACAAGGGGGAGCAGGGAACATAACGGTTGGAGCTGAAGCAGAAATCAATAAGCGTGCACCAAGCTAACTACTGGCAGCAGAAGGTCAAAAACACAGGTCTTCTGCACTGTCCCCAGTATTTCTAGCTCTTTCTGCTGTCTAGAATCCATGCCAAGGAGAACTGCATCTACCCAGCTGCTCCTGAGAGTTTAAGGAGAAGAAGAAAAGAAATAAAATAGCTACAGTGATAGCAAATTAAGGCTCATCAAGTTCCTCAGAGGAGCAGAAGGAAAGAAACCAGAGCATTTATGACAATCATGGGGTTGGAGGTGACAGCAGGGAACAGCACTGAATAATGACTAAAAAAGCTAGCCTGCACCTGCACTACCATACCCAAGGCTGTAATTTGCTGCAATCTGAGGTGATAATGATGGCAGTAAATGGGTTACATGTAGAAACAGATAGCCCAAGAATAAGCCACCAACTGCTTCGTAGCAACCACCATCATCACTGCATACTCAGCAGAAATAGTTACAAAATGCTGCATGCCTGCTCGGAAAGGATGCTGAACAGTTGGGTGTGTGTGTCTTTGGATCCTGCTGAGGCAGGCAGCGCTGTAAGTAGCATCATGAAATGTAAAGTGCTGTTTCACATAAGCATATAAGGGTTGCGGACAGAAGGGAACAGACTTGATGCCAAAGACTGAGCTGCAGTAAGGCATTTACAAAATAAAAGAGTTAAGCCTGCTCAAAGTTAGGTTAAAGCTGCTTCTAATATTATTTTTTTTCATAAGATTTAAAAATTTCTGCCTCCCTGCAGAAAGCTACGCTCCTTTATTCTGAACAACTGCCTACAGATTAACTCCCCCATGCAGGTCACGCAGCACTGCCTGGATTTTCTCTTCAAAATAATCAACATTTACTATTCCAGCATCTCCCACAGTACCAGCCAACTTCCACAAAGGGGCTAAGAAATCTGAGGCACTTTTGAATCAAGTGCCCCACAGCAGGAGTATTTCGTTATAGCTTCCATCAATGAATAGCTGGCACCTGCCCTAAAGCACAGGCATTTCTGAAGTGGAGGCCAGTCATTACCTAGAAAAAAGGAGGAATTATTCCTTCTTCTAGATTTGCTGAGCCCTTGCTTCCCTGAGCACCTTCAGCAATGCTGAGCCCTTCTTCCAGAACCTGGTCCGCACAAATAATCCACACCTCTCTTTGTGCATGCCTGCATCCTCGCCGTGGGCACTATTGCCCACTTGAGAGAGCATCATTAGCCTCTTTCAAAGGTTATCCACAAATACAATCGGTTCTTCAAGGCTTGGACTAATCCACGTATCATTTTTAAGTATACTTTACACAAAATTATAGCTTTATCACACCACTACTTGCTCTTCCTTCCAAGCCAGTTATAACGGAATTAATGGCCCTTTGTGCACAGGGTGTATTCCTTGCTTGGTTTTCTTTCTTTCTGTCTGTTCCTGATCAAAGACAGAACTTCATTTCTTGCCTCCACTGCTCACATTTCTTTATTAGCTCTGTGCAAAAACCCTTGATGGAGTCAAGTAAATTACTTCTTGTTTCTTTCACCTATTATTTGCTAGTGTAGTCTTAGAGCTGTTGTAATTAGGAAGGCTTGATCCTATTATACCAAGTTAAATTAGGTGTTACAGGATTCTATTTTATTCCCTGCTGTCTTATGAAGAGATAGCATGAAGGACAGCAGCTGTGAAAAACCACTTGTTCACACAGCCATTAAGAAAAATGGACCTAAAGAGATCATCTTTAAATTGAAATGGAGTTTTCTAATCTTTGCCTATGCTTGGCAGATGAGTGATGAGATAGCAATTGCCCAAATTTACAGCACAGCTTGAGCAACGCTGGTGTGATCAAGATGTTCAAGCCTGAGGGACATGTGGACCTGACTAATGGAAAACAACTGTCAAAGCAGTCTCAGAAGGGCAGGTGCCAGGAGGAGGGAGTACCTGCCAGGTAGTGCAGCCACTCGAACTTAATACAGGGTGGTGAGATACCAAGGACCTGGAGAAGACCACAAATTAAGGAGAAATTCTATTTATTGCTTCAGGAAACAAGACTTTATGGTGCATTGCACTGAGAATAGGCAGCTCATCTTAATGAGATGACAGATTGTTGTCAGCAACTCAACCAGTTTGTTTCTTCCACAGCTCTTAAGTGACCCTCCCTCTCCAGCAAGGCTTCATCTTTTTCAGAAATGAGGTGCTCTACTGTCAGTCTCATCAGTTGGTTGATGATGCATAATAATCATTCAGCTCCTCTGCAATGCCCTCTCTGTTTTGTGTAAGAGGTCGATCCTTTCTTACACTTCAAATTGCTCCCTGGCATCCCTTCCTGACTGCTAGGTCAGGTACAATAGGCACGTTGTAGGTCAGTATTCGCACCCTTCAGACTAGTGTCTGCTCCTGTCCACTTACACGTGCATACAGTCTTACTGAAGCCCTAGGCCCTGTGTGGAGTGCAAGTCCCCCACCTCTGTGCAGGTTACTCAAAGGCAGGCAGGTGGCATTTTATTCTTGGGCCCTTGGGCTGAAGACAGGGTTATATCAAGGACAGTATTAGCACAGCGCACAGTACCGGGAAGTCGTTAATTGCTTGTATGGACCAACGTCGCCGGGCAGAACGAGGAGACATCTGTATGTGAAAACATTATACCCAGGAAAAGGGAAGAAAGACACCAAGAAAATTAAAGACAAAGATAAATAAACTGAAAAGTGCCTTGAACCAGCAGAGTAAAAGATACCATTCCCAGTGGTTCTGTTACACAACGAACAGTTGCAAACAAAGATTCCCCCCCTTTCATCCACACACAATTGTACTATACAACATTACCTACGGCCCTGGCAAAGCGAGGACTGCTGTGTCTGTGCCCCACACCAGCCTCCGTGGAAGACTTCAGCAACCACAAATTAGAATGAAGTCTTCCACACAGAGTTGTATTACTGCAAGAAGCACCCAACTGCAGTGATGTGACCTTGTTTATACCAGGAATTAACAGCAGAGCAGAGGACAACACCCTGGTGCCCGCCATGCCAGGCTCCTACTCTAACCAGTTTTACTCCTCTTGGCTGAAGAGGAAGGCAGCTAATACAAACTGCATCATTTTTGACACAGCTGTCCAGTGCCTTGGCACAGAAATCTGCAGGAATCTAAAGACAGACTCCTTCTTACTCAGACATCCCTTTAACATTCAGCATCCTCCAGGACTTCATTCACTGGAACCTGCTGTAACTGTTCACTTTAATTTTAAACAATGAAAGCCACATGTCAGGATATTAGAAGGGATGTAGAGACCCTGCTACTTGGCAGGGCCATGTAGAAATTGCCTTTATGGGTTGAGGAACTCATTCAGGTTGAGCGAACAAATTCACTGATAGCCTCATGCAGAATAGCTCCAAAGTAGGCTTTCATTACGAACTTGCAGACATTTCATTAAGTACTCAACGCATTATTATGGCAACAATAAATGTGATCTCTCAAAGCACATTACTGTGTGCTCACTTGAAAAAAATTTCTGTTATAGTTCTGCAAGAGTCAACACAAAAAGGGAAAGAATAGGGTTTTTTTGTGTTGTGTGCAATGTATTTTACACTTAATTTTCAGCTGATGATATGCAGTCAGGACCTCCAGCTATGCCTTCAGCCTCTACCTTCCCTTGCATCTCAGTGCTGGGAGAACCCTGCAGACAGGGAGCCAAGAGGTGAGGCTGGCTGCAGGGCCTCACAGAAGGAGCGAGGAGAAGACTGCAGCCTTGTGCTACACATTCCTCCACCAGGTCTCACAAGAGAAGGAGAAAAGGATTAGTAGAAGGAAATTCAGTATAGTGCAGAAGCAGCAAAACTAAGCGCTACAAACTCCTGCTCTCCTGTAGGCAGACACTGCTGCTAGCCTACACTGCCGTGTGCTGTGAGTTTGAGAAGTCTGCAAGCAGGTGGCACCAGGCAAAGTCTGAGGGCTGTCCTGAGAAGCAGCAGTTTCCAAGCCCTGCCAAATTCCCCGCTGGGAAACATGAGGACACCTCAGTCACCACCCCTGTGTATGGCTGTCCCTCAGGCAAAGCTGAGCTGCACTCACATTTCCTGTCTAGCAATGCACAAATTCTGCTTGTTTGCTAACAGTAGCGATGCCAATCGTTGCTACATCAGATTTAAATACCTGGTTATGGCTGACAAATTCAGTTTTGTGGCTGAAGTTACATAATGTGAGAGTTTAACACACAAAATTTCACCTTTCATTTAATGCAAATATAAAATCCAAGTTTCAGAGCAAGGAGATAACTAGAGTCAGAGTCTGGGCTTTTTAAAATCTTCTCAAGGAAATTACATAAAAATATGTAGCATTGATCTAACAGGCCATGACATCAACTCCTGAAGAATCAGAAAAATCATTGCTGAAGGGAGATACAGATTTTTGGGCTTTTTTAAAAAACTATTTCATCTGCAAGAACATTCAAGCTAGCTCCGTGTTAGGGCCCTTACACTTCTTCCAACCCAGCATGCCAGGAGGTAGCTTGGCAGAGGGAAGAGGAACATAGGCATTTTCTCTGTCTTTCAGCAGATATGGCTACACACGTGCTTTGTTCTCTTGACTTTTTTTCCCCCCGACAAAAATCTTGTCACCATCAATACAAGGGCTGAGGAGACAGGTCACATGAAATTGCACTAAGCTGCTCCCACATGTTATTTTTAATCCTGCCTGTCACCTTAGAGAGCTGCATATCAGAGACAAGCACACTGCAGAGGAGAGAGGTAGCTTTTTAAATAAACTCTCCTTGCTACAACAAACTGTAATTCTTGTACCAGGCAGCACTATTTTCTCTTCTCATCAAAAAGAAGTTTGTCTGGGAAAAAAAAACAGAACGAGGACTCAAGAGACCTTTGGGGGCTATATGGAGGCAAAGCTTGCAACAGAGAGGGAGGCTTGCCCCATGTCTGGTAGGTGTAATGACTAATTCACATCTCGTAAGCAGGACAGTCCCAGAGGGGTCAGTGGTCATGTCCAGCACTACTGGAACATTAAGACCTCTTTCAGTGCCCAGCAAGGATAAGAGCTCAGGGCTCTGACCTCCCCTCTGCTCCCATGACAGCAGTTCACAAGCTCCACTGCAGCAGAGTGCAGACAGCTCTCGGCTTTCCTTGGAGTACCTGGAAGCTCTCCGTTGCTGCAGCAAATGTGTGCCCTCCACATGGACAAGCTACTCGAATGCCCTGAATTCTCAGGCTGTTGGTGGAAGCTTACCATATTTTTGTAAGCCACTTCACCCTCTGCCAAAGCACAGAGAGTTTGTTTCTGAACAAGCTGCATAGCCGATTACTCCCACAGCATCTGCTCTGGGCATATCAGGCCCTCAGCTGCTTCAGAACTACCTTATGGTCATCCTACGATTACCAACAGATCTTCCTCACCCACTATATCCTGGAAGGAAATGATCCCACTCTCCCCCAAAGCCTTGCTTGTAAACACCAATGACAGCAAGACCTACACCTAAAGCAGTAGTACATGGATTGGAAGATCTTTGGAGAATCATGTAGGAATGATTTTTGTTTAAGACAGTCCAGAGGGGTAAATATCCCTGAGACATCTGTAATAGAAATAACCCATATATATAACCCATAATCCAGGAGAGGTTGCCAGTAAGCTGCAGAGAGCCACAACTCTTTGCAGTTACATACATCAGGGAGTGCAGAGAAAAACAGAGTTGCCTATATGTACTTGTCTGGAGACTACAACTTCTTAAGTGTGACATTTTTAGCCCTATGTAATGCAAAGGGAGACAGGAAGCTGTGATGGTCAGTGTAGAGAGATACCAAAATAAGCAGGTCAAATGCTAGAGAAGATCAGTAAAGAAGCTACTAATAGGAGATAAATCCATGAGATATTTTGACAGAGCTGCCTGTAAAACGATGCTTTCTTGAGAGGAATATGAAGCTTCTGTTACCCGCAATGCTCACAGCTATATGAAAGGAATACAGATCACAAAAGCTGAAGTGTTAGGAAAGGCTTTTTGGTCTGGTACTCTTACCCTCTCTTTGTAGTAGAAGGAGCTAATGGACACCTGCTCCTTCTCGCTGCGTGTCGGACTCCCGCTGTACAAACGCAGATTGCCTGGAGTCTCTGTACGGATCTTCATTGGAGTAATGAGGCCACTATGGTATGCTGATAAAGCTGACAGGGACCTAGAAACAAGAGAATACACTTTCAGGAGCTTTCACCCACCAATTGCCCTGGAGGCTCACACCATTATCTCCACTAATCCAAGTAATGTTTCAGGTGTGTTGAGGAAAGGGTCTCTGATAAGGGACGAGCCTCTCCATGACAAGGGCACAGCTAACACTAATGGTCAGTACTTTCTGAGGGTCAGTAGCTCTAGTGTAGGATATGATACTGCCCTGCCTTCCTGCCCATGACAGCAGTACACCTCAAATGCGATGCAGGGTACTCACCTGGGGGTAGGCTCCGTCGGGGACACCGCGCGGTGCATGGTCATGGGTCTCGTGAAATACACCAGGTACCCTGAAGGGACAGACATGGCATAAAGATCATGCAAGGAGAAGCAGATTACCCAGGGGTGGTTTACACAGGGAAACCTGGTTGCTTAAGGGAGAGTCAAGGGGCTGGGTGCCTATCCACTACCTTGAGTGCTTTTAAACAACAAACAGACAATCTCATATTCTCAACCCAAATCTAACTCCTTGTAAACCCATTAAAGAGCATGTTTTGTTGAGCATGTCTTAAAAGCACCCACTCGAGTGGCTTACAGATGTTAAAGAAAAGACAGTAAAAGAAAATGAGCAAATACAGTCTCATGTTTTAACTCTTCACCAGAACTTGTCAAGCGTTTTGATACTCTAGAGCCAAGTGAAGTGATGTTTAGCTATGCAGAGAAACCACTGCAGCTTGTACGACTCTTCTCTTCAAAATGATAACCCAAGCCGTCTGAAGCCAACTCCCAAGCACTCTCTCACAAGCCTTCCCCCATTTGTTACAGCATCTCCAGTGTCTTCAGTCACTCGCTCTTGCAAGAGTTCCAGGACTTCGCAGGTTTCACTGAGCCTGTTCAATGCAATACTACTCTGTTTTACTTTTGCCAGGAATTCGGTGAGGCCTGTACAAAAAGCAGCTTTCAAAACATGCTCAAATTCGGACACAGTCAGGTCCAGAGCAGGCATGCTTGCATCTCAAACAGCTCAGTGAAACTTAAACAGCTCTTACTCAGACCTTAACCTGTTTTTTAAGGATGGTCTTTGCACTGTACACTCTCCTGGAAACCTGGACGTGATTGTACCCCATCTCCCATTTAGCAGAATTTTCCCAATGACCTTGGGAAAGCTATTTTGGACAACAGATAGGGTGCAGAATGAGAAAAGAGTAGTTAGTAACAAGAATATGATTTCAGCAAGGAGCAAGTTCAACACCAAATCACAGGAATTTTGTGAAGACCAGAATATGTCCAGCAATTTGATGCTGGTATGAGAGAACTAGGCAAGGGAACCAACTATTCCCAGTCCTCTGTAAAAGAGGAGGTCTGCCAATGCCTCTGGCATGCCACAAGCCGAAGGCCATCTCTTCAACTAGCCCTCGATTTCCAAATCCTAAAAACCCGCATGCAACACCAACTGCAAACAGTTGCTAACTAGTCTCATTAGCTATAAATTTATCATAACATCGCTACTTCAATACTATTTCTTACTCATTGTATGGCAGTGACCAAAGCCTCATCTGGTTCAGAGGCAAGTGTTCCCCAAGACATCAAAAGGTCCATTCCCCAGGTAGCTGTTGTAACATATCAGTGATGGGGCTAACCTGCACCACAGAACCTGGCTCCAGAAGTCCGTGGAAATGGGATGTTAGAGTCCTGGTAGGAGCCATAGGCATTGGAGACCCGAGCAAACGTAGGCAAGGGGGGTGTTACGGAGTTTGACAAAGCATAGGGATTGCTGGATGTGCTGTCCTCTTGGTTCTGAAACAGAAGTTACCCAAGGTCACACTCCCGCTGCCAAAGGAAAGAAACCCAGCCAGAGCACTGGATATTGCAGTGCCAAGCAGCATCATGGAAGGTGCTCATCCTTTGAGCCAGAGCAGATCAAGCACAGAGCATGGCTACTGCTCCGGCTGCAAAGGCACTTGCAATCACATTTACCTTTGAGGAAAGGGCTTCTCTGGCTGCTTGTCCAGAGATTTCTCTCCCACCACAGCCATGTTGAGATACGGAGCTTAACTTGGGGTGAAACAGTATGACTCTCAACACAGGGAGCTGAGCTAAACCTGATACCTCAACGATGCAAGTGAGACAAAGTCTCCTTAAATAGTAATACCACACAACTGTGGGAAGTCAAATGCAGGTTGGGAGTCTTGAAGTGAGGAAGGCAGGTGGCGTGAAATACTGAGGGACCTTAGGCCCATCCACAGGAATTCTGGCAGAATCCGCATTTATTTGGATAAAGAGTACTACAGCTTAGGTTTAAAAGAATTCTTTAAAGGCAGTGGTGCCTGGCTTGAGTCATCAGATTTCCATACAATGGAGAAAGTTCCCACTCTTACAACATTACCACTGAAACCAAACAGAATTAAGCCTTTCCATGTAAAAAAAGCCCTTCATTTGTGATGAATAAACAAAACGTCTTGGAAAAGAAACCTGAGCAGACTCTCCAATCTTATCCTGAATACTAAAAACACCCACTCTGGTACACTTCGCCCACACACAGACCTAATACCTGACACTGGGATGCTGAGCAGGTATCACAGGTCTCTCCGCTAAGGGCAGAGTGTGACTTGGATTTATCTGCAGTATCATCCCCAAAAAACCTCAGCACAAAGCTTCAGAAATAAAAAAAAAAAAAAAAAAAAAGCTGTGAAAGTCTGTTAAGTAAAGAAAACAAAGACCCTAGAATAGGACTAGCAGGATCTTTGACCAGAACTGAAGAGGTAAAGACATCTGCCATTCTTGTCTTCAGACAAGAATGAACCCATCAGCTCCCTGAGGCCTTTTATCTTCTCTCACAGATAATAACCATGCCCTGGCACTCAGTGAGAGATACTCTGAGCTGGGAAGCTACCATGCACTACACTAAGATAATCCAACCCCCAGTCATTCCTGATAACCTGACTACCAGTGAGCATGCAGAGTTCCCCAAAGCAGCAAACCTTCAGGGCCTGATCTTCAGAAACAAAACACATCTAATTATCTGCTCAGTTTTCTTCAACATTAACCAGAAGTGCTTACACAAATGTAATGGCCAGTCACAGGGGTCTGTTTACATGTCTAATGACGCCAGACTCTCACTGCAGAGTCAGAAGTCTGGGACATAGAAGACGACAACAAACTAGGGCAGAAAGTCCATGCAGCTCTCCATACCACAACAGACTCCAGCCAGGAAACCAGCTGGCGCAGGCAGGGCTCCAGGCAGCTTTGGTTCCGCTTCACTTTCTGCAGAGAAGTGTCTTTCAATATCTGGAATACATAAAAGATGCAACTTGAGTCATGGTTACATCCACACCTTCCCCACATCCTTTTTTGTCTGCAGAGCAGCTAAGATGCGAGGATCTGGAGAGGCCAAAGACATCCCGTAACATCCACTGGAGCCACACTGACCCTCCGGTGTGCTGTGAGGAATGACTGAGCTTTGATCAGAGCACTGAGGGTTCAGCACACTCTGAACCAGGATTTGGGCTTCTATATTACTGTATAGAACACAGCTCATAGGTTCTACACCAGTCTGTGACAAACTGAGGTTTTTTTTCAGGAAGGAACCCAAACTGATCCATCTACTTGCTGCCAGGGAAGGGATTTCATCAGCAATAGGACTTCCTATGCCAGATGATCAAACACCTGGTCTGGAATTAGCAGGGCCCATGTAAAAAGTCCTCTCATTTTTAAAACAGTTTGTGGAGGAGAGCAAAGAGCTCCCAGCTCAAAAATACTATCTTTCTGCAGCTGGATGCTTAGCTGGTCATTTTGTCTATTATGGAGTTGGGGGTGACTGCATGAGGAGTCGGATACTATGGATCCTCCCGCAACATATATCACACAGGAATACAGTAGCAGTGAAGAACACATGTTCAAAAAAGCATCAGTGGAGAAAGGCAAATACCAGGCTGCAAGCCCAACAAAAACCTCATCCTAGGAGCTCCACAATGTATCAGTTCAAAGTGACAACTGGTATGTGTCCAGTAAGGTCAGATGTTTTATTGTGTCAGTAATCTAGACACCAAGTGTCCAGCATCTGTATATTTATGCAGACAGCATACACTCCCAACACACCTTCAGCAGCTTTGCCTTCATGGAGGCAGTGATCGACGTCGGGTTGATGAACTGGAAGGATGGTGCAGCATTATTGGGGTACTGGACAGGGAACATCACCAGCATCCTGACTCTGTGGTTGCCGCAGTGCACTGACACCGTACAGCTACGACTCACCGCATCCATCTGTGTGAGGAAAAGCAATTGCTCTGTAGTTAGATCTCCAAGGACTTTTACACTTATAGTGCCTTAAATTCATGCCAAGGGGCTGATTCCTCTGCACATTCATAAGACAAAGCCATGCCGTTCTCCAGTGCAGTGAACACAGTGACAGCAAAAAACCGCAGGCAGATGGGGACAGACTCGGCTCGCACCAGCAGACTGGCAGTCCGTCATGCGGAGAACACAGCCAGCCCAGGCTGCGCCAGGAATCAGGCTCTGCTCTCAAAAGCCACTGCACCCCAGCCCACTTCCCCTGGCTGTGGAGAGCTCCAGGCCCAGCCCAGCAGTAATATGCACCGTCTAAGATCATATGCCACTATATGTATCAGCCAGAAAAGTACATCAGGATCATGACATGAGCTGTGAAACCACAGGGGTGGGGAAAGGAGACAGGCAGCTGCTTCAGCCCTCCCTTCCCAGTACAGTGCTGTGCCTCCACCCAGCTTCCACGCACAGAGGAAGGTTTGGCATGTAAGGGAGATGCCAAAATTGAGGGAGAGAGTGCAGCATAAGGAGGGCTCAGCAGAATGGGTGCAGAAACAGTTAAATGAAATCAGCTGCATATAGTGGAACAAGTCACTTTCCACTCTGCAGTCTAGGCAGAGATGCAAACACCATCCAGCCTTCTAGGTTCCAGCACCAGTGTACTCACTGTGCTGAAATACTTCCATCACTCCCAGTGTCTAGGATTATCCTCTTTCCTACTACCCCTGGCCAAGAGGATCGCTACAACTCAAAATAAACCTTGTTTATAGACAGCAGTCACTGCAGCAAAGAAGGTTCCCCTCAAAAAGCTCTGATGGGCCAGCCTGCCCACATCCCTTCCTAAGAAGCCAGCAAAAGGAAACTCTTTACCTCCACATTGACATTTCGGATCTGCACATTGATCAGTGAAAACTCCTGCTGCAGTGTTTGAGGCAGTGCCAGTTGGTCCATTTTCTTTCCCACCAGGGGGTCATTCAGGAAATCTTCTCTTAAGGCTGTTAGGAAAGATGGACAACAGGTTGAGACAAGCTGTAATAGACAGACTTTTGGCACACGATGCCAAGAGGCAGCCAAGACAGCAGGCTTTATTCTGCTCTTCTGACACGTGGAGGTATGAGTTTTACCTGGCAAAGACCTGCAAGCTGGAGGGTCTCAGCTGTTGTTTAGAGAAAGGCTTCTGAGCCTTGCTCTTCAAAAAAACAAACCTGTCTGCACACAGGTTTCCCAGGAAGGTTACAGAAGCCTCCTGTACTCTGTACAGCCCTAAATAGTCTGTCTCTACTTATTTGAGACCCCTTCTCCTCCCTATACAGTACTGCCAGAATCACAAACAGCTGAACTGGAGCTTCTCAGTTCAGCGGGAAAGAACTGCTGCCAAAACAGCCTCCAGGAGGACCTCGGGTCTTTGGGACTCACACCCCACCACTCCTGGCTTTCAGGGAATGCTTCCAAAGCTTTGGAGAGAGAAGAGGGTATTTCTGGCCCTACAAGAGGCTTAATTCATTTGTGGCAGCCATGTGCATTTAATGTTGCAAAGCACCTTAGTGCTTTAATGGTCTTTAAAGAAGCACCTAAATGCTGCGTCTAGCTGTCCAGGAGGGCAGTACCCTCCTTTTATCGTCTCCTCCCATTCCCTTCCAATTAGTTTCTAATCCCCAAAAGCCTACATCTTTGTCTAGATTCCTAAAGATCCTTTATAGGCAGCAGCCAGTGAGGAGAGCTGTACACTGAAGACACAGCTGGTGGGCTTTCTGATTTATCTGCAGAACACACTTCTCTTCAAAGATGCCCCACAGTGCTTTACTAATACAACGTGGAGACTTTGCCTACAGCTGAAATGCAGCCACCTCTAGGGTGAAATATCAACAGCCCACAATAGCTTTTAGGCTAGAAGGAACTCAAATTCCTACCTAGGGACTTGCTTGTGCATTGATCCTGCAGTCGTGGTATTTGCAGCAAAATCCACCCTGCTACAGAAAAGCCATTTTTATTCCCTTTGGCCACAAGGGAAACCTTAACAGTCTGAACCAAAGCTACACCCACAGAAAGAGAAACCACACAGGATGTATGAATGTGACCTCATCAGGGACAGTGAAAGAGTTAACTCTCTCCTGTGGAAAAAGAGAGGTCAGGCAGCCTGAATGAGAACACAGCTCCCAGATGGAGCAAGAGAAGCTGTGCTTCCCCACACAGTAATGCTCATGGTGAGCACCGGGGCTCTTTTGATTACATTATAAAACCCTCACATAGACAGTGGTGCTGACAGCTTCTAGAAACTTGTTCTGCTGCCACATAGGACAGGTGGCAGAAAGGAACTTCACTGGGATTTGCTGGGCAGAAAACTTCCAGTTAGGAAGAAACATCTTCTCTAAGGGACCTCACAGCTGGCTCCTTTATTCAGAGGACAGATATTAGACCACTTCCTCCCCTTCTCTCCAGCTTGTTGGCAAGTCAAAGGGAGAATCAAATTGCTTTCCTGTAAGGGATGGCGATCCATTGTAGCACCTGCTTCAATACAGAAAGGAACTGCGAATTTAAACCCAAGCCAACACAAAGGCATGGAAGCACCCAATTCTTCTTCCTTGTTAGATATAGAAATATGTTTAGATAGCTTTTTCACATGCACATCATCACCACGAGTCTCAGCTGCTGCAATCTCTTCTATTCTGGTACTTACACTCTTAAAACACTAACATCCTGAATATTTAACTTGGCCAAAGCCTTAACCACATAAACCCTCCTTTGCATTCCTTCCAAGTCTGCCTTCTCTTCCATAAAGCCAAATCAATGCTTTCTCTTAAAGCCTTTGACCCATTCCCATCAGCAGTCAGAGGTACCATCCTTCCCCCTCTGCTCTGCCAGCCTTCAGCCACCTCTCATCAGCATACGATGAACAAAAATGCACCATCTCTATACTACTGCTGGTGGATGGGAGAAGACACCAGCAAGCATCTCCATGTTAGATCAGTTCACACAGTGACGCCAGCAGAAGTGCTTAGGTACTAGGCATGATGTAAGCAGTTTGCATCAGAGTGCCCGCCTTACTCATACGCTCCCCGCTTCTGTGGGCTCATGTCTCAGCTTCAGTTGAACTACCTTCTTATGAGCCAGAACTGACTTTCCAATTACCTTATTTTTGGCAGGAAGCTACAACTATAACCTAAAGATAATTCAATTAAATGCTACTAGTGACAAGAAACAGCTCTATTTTACAGCTAGAATGACATCACTGTGTTAGAGGAGAAGAGAAATTGGTAGGACCATCCTGAGAAACACCCAGTGTTGGGGATCCATTCATCTTTGAAACAGCATCACTTTGTGCTTTGCCTACAATGTTATTTTCTTATACCAGGGTGCATCATCTTCCCAATACAGAGAGAGCTGGTGTTTGAAGTTCCATGATCCGTCACTTGTCTCACCTTCCTCATCCACATGCCCAGAGTTATGCTGGGGCTCAGAGTCCTGGGGGTGAAGGGTCTTGTCTGGCTCTGGCAGATGAGAAATCCCATCGATGAGGTCCTCCACTCCATCCAGGATATCATTAGCACACAGCTGAAAAGAACAAACACACCCACTGGCTGCACAACAGAAACCAAGCTGTGCAAAGAGCCACCACTAAAATCGTTTCTCCAGGGAGCTGGACTTGCATCTGTCCATGCAACAGCCATGACTAAGACCTCAGCACTGTTTCTGTGACAAAGACAGGTGATCTTCCACTTTCCAGCATCCTCAGTTCTGTCACCTCAGACAGCCTGGCCAAATCTCCTGCTCACGTACAAAGCCACTGAATTGACATGGCTAGTCTAAGTAACAGAGGTTTTACTTTAATCAAAACTAAAGCTGATATGACTTTAATTCCTTGAATTAATTTGTCAAAGCTGGTTTTATTTTTTAGATCAGCTGTAATACTAGCACACTGTCTGCTTTTGATATTTATACTCCAGTAGGGTCTAGAGAACCAGGTACATAGTTGGGGCCCTAGTGTTCTAGACCCTGTATCAAAGGGAGACCATGAAAACTTCTGTTTTAAGTTCAGCACAAGAAAACAGGAAAGATGAAGAGAAGAAACAAGGGGACGAAAAAGGATAAGGGTGCAAATGTAGCAAATTACAGTATTTGTCATCAGCAACATGCCGTCACGTGTATAGTTTGATCCAGACAAAGACAAAAGAGTGGGAGCCAGCAGAGGAAAAGTAAAGGCTCTGACATGGATGAACAATTGGTTTAAAGACAGGAAAGAAATAAAATATAAACAAACATATCAGGTAGGAGTAAGGGGTCATTTTTCACAGAGAAGGTTTGTTACAGACCTGCAGGACTCCTGCAGGATCTGTGCTGGGAACACATGCTTCTCAACATATTCATTAAAAACCTGGAATAGGAGGTGAATAGGTTCATGACCAGGTTTGCTGATTCCACCAAGTTATTCAGGGTAGTAACAAGAGTGGCTGACTGCAAACAATCACAGGAGGACCTTACAGGAGTAACTATTAAAATGAAAGATGAACTTCAGTTCAGATAAATATAAAGCACAGGGGAAAAATGGCAAGTTCAAGCTGACTGAGGGAACATGATGCAGAGGCCAGACTATGCTGATGTTTTCACAGAATTATGCCCGACAATTTTAAAAAAACAACGTGAGTACTGAGAATTATTTGGAAAGAACAAAGTTCAGATCCCCATCCCGAAAAAATCTATAGTAGAACTGAAAAAAGGTCATGAAAGGCAAAAGGATAATCAAAGTTCTCACACAAGGAATGAAGTAAATCAAGACCTTTTGACTTGAAAAAGGAGGCAGCTGAGGAGGGATATGATGGAGTTCTACAGAATTATGAGTAGCACAGACAAGATGGCTGCCCATTTCACCTTCAATGTAATGAAACTAGCAGGTTACAAAATAAACAAATGAAAGGAGCTCTTTTTCCACACAACATGCAAAAAAGCCATGAAACTCCTTATCCATAGGATGTTTAAGATGACCAAAATTTACCCAGGTCCAAGAAGAGACAGAACAAGTCTATGGAAGTGAAACTCATCAAGCTCTGTCAAATACAGAGATGCCAAACTCAATGATCCTCTAATCCGCAAACTGCAGGAGGCTGGGAGGGCTTTTGAAAGAAACATCATTCCATACTTGCCTTGTTCTTATCCTCTTCCAAGACATCCACGGCTGAAGATGAGGCAGGGCAATATGGGCCATCGTGGCCATATGAACTTCTGATCTGACCCAGCACAGCAGATCTAGCAATTGCATCAGCAATTTGTAACTGCTGCCAGACAACAAAACAGGATTCACACTGCCTGCACCAGGCTAAGAGGCAATGGAAACAAGGGGAGGAAGTGGAGGGCACAATCCCTACATTTACCTGCTATCTAAAATGCCAAGAAAGAGACATACAGTCTTGCAGCCATGAAGGTAGCATCTTCAGAGGCAATGCAAGCAGTAACTGATCTCCACCTTCCCCAAATGACTTCTACGCTTACTGTCATACAACAAAGCGGCCTTGCACTTCCACAGAAGCTTTTGAGGCACAGACACAGTGGGGCCTTATCACAGGTCTCCTTGGGGATGTTTCAGGGCTAGAGCTAAAAAGGAAAGTGAAGCGGCAGCTGGCTGCTGTGTCTGCAGCTCTAGGATATCAGAGGAGTGACTGGGAGCACAAGGAAAGGGAGGTGAATCCAGCCTGCAAGAAAACTGTCTACAGTTCAAGAGCAAAAGTGTTACATACCCTCTGCAGCTGAGAGTCAATCCGCCACATCCGCAGAGTCTGATCACGGGACCATGTAACCAGCTGGTAGTCTTTCGAACCTAAAGAGGACAGAAACACTTACAGCTGAAAACAGAAACTCTCTCAGCCCTATGTTTAGTGTAAACACATTCAAGCAAGCCAGAAGAGAGATCCAATGGATAAGGCACTAAACCAAAAGGCATGGCGAATCCTTTTCTGCTTTGAACGGACGTAGGTGCATCAGCCTTTATGCCTTCCTGCACCATGTTTACCACACCTCTAAATTTACAGGTGAAAAACACAAATTAAGTGTAAGGAATGTGATGCAAGTTTTCCAACCAGGAATGAACAAGATCTACTACAATACTTAAATACAAGACATAATATAGTTGAGAAACGGACTTATTTTTACAGTAACTGTAAAGTCAAAATATAAATATCCTTAGTTCATTGTAGCTGTTTCAAGAGGCAGAGGTTTTAAAACATTTCTAAGCTGTGATGCTGGTTCTACCCTTCCCCCCTTTTTCCTTCTGAAACACTTGGATGATACCAAGACAAATTCAGTTCATAATAAAATACATCTAGCCACATACTATCTATCAACAGATCAAGGTACACAGACTTATTTATGCCCATGTTTAGGCCTTGTGATACAGTTTAAGGTTCCCTTGTAAAACAGCTGCTACGCTTAAGAACTTGCTGCCACACAGCTGCTTCCTACACCCCTCTGCTGAGCCACAGGGGCTGTCTAAATACAGCACGGCAGCCTCTGTGCAAGGAGATTTGCGCTATCTTGGTTGCCCCTGCACTGAAGCAGACTTGGAATGCTTGTATGATTGATTTATGTTGCTTGAGACAGGCATGACTTCCAGCCTCAGATGTATATCTATTAACTCAGCTAAAACAATACAACAGTGGTTCAAGCCTGCTTGAATGTTCATACACAAGCTGTCTTAGATTGCGCCTCCAGATCCTAAGACAGTTCTATATCGCTTTCATCTTTTTGAAAGAGAAAAGCAAATTACAGAGAAGAAAGTGACTTAACTGAATTGCCCCAGTAGCTGGTGTCAGAGGGCTGGACCAGAGCTTTTACATGGCACTGCAAAGCAGTGCCACAAGTGACACCAAAGCCAGACATGCTTGGTCTGTCAATGGCAGCTGAGGTGCTGGAAAAAAGCTGTGCGCTGTGTGGTTATCCAACCTCTAATACAGAATCTCCTATATTTAGCTGCCTACACTGGAAAATTCAGTCAGGATAGAACTCTAACAGCAGCCTCTCTATCCCACGCTCTTCTTCCCCTGCCTTTGCCAGCACACAGATAAGGTGGGTTTGCTGGTTTTGTGGTCTGGGATATGCTGGAGGCTGCTGATCCAGGCAGAGATGTGAGGGCTTAACTAGTTAGCGGGCAGCTCTGAGCAGTGGGAGGGTGCCTGCACTCATGCACCCATCTAATAGTTTGTACAATTTATTCTGAAAGACACATTTAAAAATAGACTCAACAGGAGAGTGGAAGCAACTAAAGACACCACTGACCCACTCAGCATTTGATGGATTTGCTTTGTTAGCATGGAAACAACAGGGCAATGCTCCTGTGGGCAGCGCCATAAAACAAGTATAAAACAGCTGTAGCTTGAGCAGGGGCAGGAAAGCCGGTAGGAGCTACTCCAAGGAAAGGCAAAATAGTGATAGCATAAGCACTGCAGCCAGGAGCCAGGCCTCCACACTGAGGGTTAGCCGATGGCCACGGTGCAGGGGAGAGCGCACATCCAGCCCTGAACTCACCTTCTTTCTGCTTCCTCCACTGAAACTCCAGCACCACATCATCATGTCCCACAAAAGTGTGGACAGGCGTGTTCAAGTCAAAGACATTCCAGAGAAGGAGACTGTTCTCCCGTCGGAGTTGGGGGACCATCACTGTCACCAGCCCATTGCTGAAAGGCTTGAGAGAGAAACACTCTTCCAGTTAGCCTTGGGGAGTGATGCTCCCATGCTGCTTTTATCACACACTAACTTTTGCCTTTTCCTACGAAGACCATGTGGGTTTTAAAGGAGCTCAGCACAAAACAGAACCAGGCCTAAAACTGGGAGGGTCTAAGGCAACTGTTGTGCAAAAACAGTGTCTTACAAGAAATAAGATGTAGTACACTGAGATAATCAATGCAGCTCACTTAAGATTAATCGTTTCTTTCCACTGCTTCCCCACTTTCCAGCTGTGAGGCTGGAGGGATTTCACCCTTGACTTTTCATATGGGATCCTTAGGTCAATTTGCCTGGAGCTGCAAGAACTGCTGCCTGGGGACTGAGCCCCAGCAGCTGCTCAGGGTCATGACGCTCAGAGGAACACTGGAACCCAGTCCTACACCCCCCACCATGGACAGGGAAAGGGGATCAAAGACTCAAGGCACAGCACTGGCTTCAGGCCAAATTCAGATGTCTGGGGAGGAGAACAAATATGACTGATGTGAAGAGCCTTAGCTTCACATGGTTGGATGCTTACTCTATAAAAGGCAACAGTTCTTGGATTTTATATGCTGTGAGAGCCTACTGTGGCACACTTGGAAACCTTGGGAGTAAGAGGCGGCACTCAGAGAGGCAGAAGCCTCCGAGCGGCAGAAGTTGCTCTGTGCAACAAGTACCAATACTGGAGCCGAGTGGAAAAGCAGGACAGCAAGAGCAACACCACTTTCTGAGTCTCCTGCTCCCAGAGCCAACCACTTGCACCTAGGTTCCCACCCCTCTGCCAGGAGGACGATGCCAAAGACTGGGATCTCACACTGCTAGTCATTCCTTCTCCCAAGTGCCCCCATTGCAGACATTGCTTTTCTGGGCCTTTTTAAGCATCAGGAAGGATTTTTACAATCAACTTAATCATGTCCAGCAGTAGAATTGGTGAGAAGCCCTTCAGCAGTTCTTCTTTATTTAATGTCTCTTTGTGCATTTGCTCTCGTAGCACAAGTGAGGCTGGTGGGAGTTTCTCACTCACTGTGTATCTTGCCTTCCAGACAGGAACCTGGCAGGGAAGGATATTGAGGTATTTCCGAGGCTGACGGTAATCCCAGAACTTTAAAAAAAAAAAACACAAACAAGAAACAACCACAAAAAGACAAGCAAAGGCAGGAGTCAGCTGGCTACACTTTCAGGCTGCAGTTTTCCATGTGGCTTGCAAATACAACAGAGCAAAAAACATGCCAGGGTGCCCACAGCATCATTAGTAATCCCATTCATTAACAGCAGAGATGGCCCCAAAGGACAAATATCAAGCTGGCAGCATCCCTTAGACAATGAGTGACTTGGGGTCATATTCACAGTGATCATAGCTTGAGTAATTAGAGCAGAGAGACAGGCAGCCAGCTTGGGCTTTCAGAGCTACAAGGTACCCTGCAGGCTCCCAGTCAATGTGCCAGTCCAGACTGGAGGCAGGCCCACCCTGCTGTTACTGCTAATTTTGTAATGAAGAATCTAACCTTTTGCTTTGCTAGAATACACATCAATTGCATTTGCCTCAGAGCTTAGCTAAATGTGGATGAACTCCATTTGGTTGACAAAGCACACTATTTCCCCTCAAGTAAATGGCCCCGCATGGCAATGCTTGCAGGGCAGTCTTTTATTGATAACCCACTTCGACATGAGTTTGGAAATGCCAGGGGCTGGAGTATGTCTCCCCCCAAGTTGCTGTAATCAGTTTGAGGCTAACAACACTGCATTTTGGGGAGAAGGCTGTTCTGCCAAGCATGACCAGCTCCCTTCTGGCAAGCAACAGGCAGAGGCACTTGTTTTCAGCTTCAATACTGCCCAAACCACCACAGATATGTGGCAAACATATGTGCACCCATCCTGAAATGACTTGTCTGCCCATTCTGTAAACACACCCCTGGCTCAACACACACAGGCTGCCAGAAATAAAATAATAAGCATCCAGATCTTGCCAATGGCAAGCACTCCCCAAGACTTCAGCAGTAGTAGAAAGGAATCTGCTCCACCATCCTGACATCTCCCAAAGCAGAAGTCCCAGAAGCAACACTTACTCTGACGGAGTTGTCCTGGCTGGAAGTGGCCAGCGTATACTCATTGTCAGGATGCCAATCCAGACCGTGGATTTTAGAGAGATGAGCTGCCAAGTACTCTACTGCAGTGCTGGGTTTCTGCAAGGAGAGACATTTTTCTTCTCAGCACAGGACTCCTGAAATTTGGTCTTGTTCTTTAGCATAACAAGAGCCACTTTAACAAGGGCAGGACAGGCAGGGCACCCTCCTGCTGGGAAAAGACAAATAGCTCAGCAAAAGTAGTTGAAGGAAAGGTCCTGTGAAGGTGTGGCAAATTCCAGTCACCAAGTGCAGCCCTGAACCACACTTTATACTCAGTAAAACAGTTAAGTACTAGGAGATCAAAAGCAAGATGTTAATGAACATGATTTCTGGGGAAGAAGGCTACCTACACACTTTCTTTAGGCTTGTGGGCTCCCAAGTCTCTCTACTTTAAATCAGCCCACAAGAGAGATTTGGGATAAAGTAGTACATTTTTCTCAGTATTTATCTGTGACCAGAGGGATCTCTGTATTGGGTAGGTGGGAATATGCACAGACTGCTCAAAAAACCCTCAGCTTACCCTTTTGTCCCATATTCGGACATCCCCATCATGGCTTGTTGCTAAACAGTTGGCATTTTTCTTATTCCATTTCACCTGGGAAGCTCCAGCTGCAGCACAAACAGAGCAGGTCAAAACAAGCAACTAAAAAGTAAATGGCCCTTAGAGGTCTACCCTTAGTAAACCCTAAGCCCCTTCCTGGGCTTAGAGCTGCTGCTCTTAGCACAGGAAAGGCAGTTTGGAGGAAAGATATCCCAGAAGCCAGCATGAAGGACAGCATGAAAATGTCTAACTCCTGATTCCTCAGCTGTTTGAGTCATGAAGATCTCAAAGCAAGAGTGTTCCAGTTACATGCTTAGAGATCTTCATCGCAATTTCTAGCCATGGGTTGTACCTGATTAAAATACTCATGTCCATTAGCTCAGATGGAGCAAATTCCTGCAGACAAGAACTGCAGGTTCATCATCGCCCTCCCAAATCCCTTTTGTTTTCATTCAGGCTGCTTCCAGGTACTCAAGGATTGATTCATTTGTCTCCCCAACACCCTCTATCCTATCCAGGGGTATCTATACAGGGAACCAGTGTTATTGACCTATTATTAAAATACATGTGTAGAAGGCTGCATTGCAGGTAGACCTCGTGTCTGGCCAGCTGGAGGTAGACCCACTGGGTAGATCAGAAGGCCCAACTATCAAAATACACCACAGAAGTCAAAGACATCACATAAAGGAACTGGATGATAGGTCAGATACAATTATATGATATCACAAGGGACTCAGTCAAGGGCCTAAAATCAGAAGTTAGTTGGTGATTTCTAGTAAGAAGCAAAATACAGCTTCAGTTGATGTGGATTGTTCAGATATTGCAAGAGAAATATATGTTCTGTTCATCCTTATTCTGCCAGTATTTTGAAAACATTTCAAGCTATCAGAAAGGTGAGGTCCACAAGAAAGCTAAACTGCTTTCTGTGCTCAGCCTGCTGCTATTCCCCACCTTCACTACCCACCTCCTGCTGCACAGTGAGCAGATTCATCCTGACAACCTGGCAAAAAGCTAGTCCAGGGGAGAAAAAGCTGCAAACAGGCTGCCAGTCGATTGATTTGATCCACTCACTGAAGGGTACACAAACGTCTGGACTAGCACTAAACAGAATTGGACATGGGAAGAAGGAAGCTTTCTGGGGAGCTAACTGCTGGGCTGGCTTGGCTAACCCTCAGCAGCCCAGGCACCAGAACCAAATGCTGCTTCTCTCTGACTCAGTAAGGTTTTGCATCGCTGCAATAGAGAGGTTTGCTGGCTGGGGGGGGAAGAGGAGGCAACGGAGGAGGGGA